AGATGGCACAATGTTCTGCGCTCTGCGTAGTCAACAAACGGGTGGGACAGCTGTCGTCCTTCAGCACCCTCAGGCGAAAGCCAGGGAGCACGAACTCCGGCCTCTCAGCCCGTGACTAAGTCGACGTGCCAGGGGGACGCCCTGAGGCATGTTGTGTTGGCTCGACATCGGGGGGTGACGGCATCCCGGTGGTTACTCGATCCATCCGGCCCTTCCACGGCATGTCGTTCGGTAAGGGCCAATTGGTAGGGACCTGCTGAAAGGGATGTCCGACGAGTTGAGTCCCGGACAGACGACGGTGTAATCAGTGGTGGTTACGCTCACTGAGCTTAACCGCCAGCCTCTTCCTGCACTCTGGGCACATGATTCCGGTTGACAGTGCGTGGCGCTGTTGGGAGGCAGTCAGAACACCCTGTTCTGTTAGAGAACATCCCCACTGCCCTGTCAGTCAGGTAGCAGCATTCTGCTAGTTATGTAGGAGGTTTTTGTGCCTTTTAGAGGCTTTTCCTCAGGTAGAAGACAGCGCAGACATTTGTCACGAAACATCACAGATGTCGTGGCCAATCATAGTCTAGTCTGATTGGCTGTTTTTCTCTGCCGTCAGAACTAATATACTTTCAGCTCTTCCTCCATCCACACACGTGTCTGCTGCTGTTTCCTGTCCTCTCCACTCCATACATCCACGACCCACCCTGCCAGACACAACCAGCCCCACCCCAGATGTCACACAACGCACCTACCCGGCTGCGCCTCTCTCAGATGACGTCCGGCCCATCCGCCCCAGATCGAACCATGTCCCACACTCCTACAAACGCTCAGGCATGGCACTGCCACTTCCGGCAAGCCCAACCACGCCGCCCGCTCCGGCTCCTGTCCCATTCCAACCCTCCAAGAGGGCCAAAGGTCCACCTACACAGAGATCTCTTCCTGACATCTGGCGTCAACCTGCTACTACCAGTGCAACTCTGGCGCCCCATCCTATCACTCTTCCCAGCTTCACTGCACCCATCAATACATCGATTACTGCCCTCCCTGGGCCTCCCCATGCACCCATCCCACCCACGCCCGCAGCCACCACCCCCTCACCCACGCGACCAGTCCCCCCTCAGTCTGCGCAACACCTCCCGAAGCCGTTGTCACCCCGCACACACATCCAGCTCCCTCTTCCAGACGTCCCACCTCCTCTACCCTCCAGCCCAAGACGGCCCTTGCCTCCGAACCTGGCGACTCGTGCCCCACTACTACTACCCCGTCACCAACCCTGGACCCCCCACGCATCACGCTCTGGTCCACCACGTATCCTTCCCACACCAACTATCTCCCTCCCAGTCAAGAAACATCACACATCCCCATCACACTCACCCACCGCGATATCCCACTCCCCACCATCTACCAAGCGGCACCACGACATGCGCTACCCGCCCATCCCACAATACGAACCAGTACCGACCAAGCAGGGGGCAGCTGGACAGACCATATATGACGACGACCAGGAGGATTATGACACCAACACAGCCCTTAAATTCCCGGGTATCCGAAACCTCCACGACGAAGGCCAGCCGATCATGTATCGCACCATGCAACGATACTGGGAACGCGAGGCACACCTTTTCCAAGGATTCAATGCCGACCATATTGCAGATGTGGAGCGCCACTTTGCCGATGCCAAAATCCGTATCCAGTTCTCAATCAACCCATGGCTACAGCCTCCGGACGAAACACTCAGCATACTCAACTACCGTCGTGAGATCGAGGATATCTGTCAGGAACGCTACGGCCATACCTTCCTTGGCGGTCTAATGGAACACGGCCAGTAGCTCCTCGGAGATCCCCTCCAACGTACCGTCCAGGCATGGGCAGATACCTCTTCCTTCGAGACATCTCCGTGGTAATGGTATACCAATACGCTGGTGTGCTCGATAACGGCCTCTCCTTCCACCAGCTCGAATACCGCAATCCATCCAAAATCACCCCCGGGGACCTCATGTGTGCTCTTCTCAACAGACGCAACCATCCAAAGCCACACCCGTATGTCGGGATTACATGGCCCACGGGACCACTGGGCTGCCATTGGCTGTACTAACTGGTCCTCTGAAGGCCAATGCCTCTTCCGCCTCGTCTTTCCCAGCCAACGCATGGCGGAAACCGTATACGCCAAGTTTCGCCGACACGTAGCACTGACCAACTACGCCCACCTCATTATTCCCAACTCCTGGGAACTTCGTGACGACCACGACAAGCCAGTCACCGGCGCAACGGCCCCCTGGCTTGAAGCCATATGCGGTAGGCGAAACTGGCCCTCTACGCAAGCCTGCAAACCGGACGCCCGCCGCACAATCCAGTCATCCCGCCTCAACACTGGGGACCTCTGCAATTGGGACCTCCCTGCCCTCTCCTTCTACTGGCGTGCCATATGCTACACCCTCCACGCTAATGTACGCAAACACCGCATTCAAAAGACCTGGGTCGCCCACTGCCGTACATGCCCGGACTCCCTCGACACGCAGGAACACCGCTTCGGACTTACGCACCCTCATCGCCCCGGGTCGGGCTCCCTCACACACGACCTCCTCCTCGCCACCCAGGCCCGTCACCCCCAAAGCTTGGCTCCCTAACCAAGACATATACCTCCCCGGACACTGCAACGCCAGTGCAAGTATCTACACAGGCCTGACACGCCCCCAATGGCAAACACGTCGTCGTAACCCCTCCCCAATCTCAGGCCACTGCATGATCCCACTCGCACCGGCACGCTGTGTTCTGGCCCTCCACATGCATCGTTTCCTCGGACTACCTTCCCGGGCGACTCTCGCTCTCGCTACCATCCAACTCCACAGGGAATTTACCAAATGCCGGAAGCCGGGGGCCTTACTAACCCGCTGGCTCTATCACACAGCCCTCCGCTGCACACCCCTCCTGGCACCCCGAGACTTCTGGTTCGGCCAATGGATGGATGGCACCAATGGAGCTACCTTTCATGGCCCGCTCGGTGATTCCCCACACTGCACCATCTCCCGCCCCACCACAAATCACCACTGGTGGATCGATGCGACTCACCATTCCATCTCCATCCCCTGGTGGCGCCGACTCTCCGTGGAAATCCAGGCTTGCCACGGCCCGCTACCTATTGGTTCGTTGTTTCCGACGGCTCCCCGGGGCCATGTACTAGCCGCCAGCCTCACCACCACATGGCTCCTTACCATACCCGCGGACCAACTCGCTCTCCGCAATATCTCAGGCATCTACCATACCTCCGCTCCCAAATGGGGCAAGCTCACCGCCAGCAACCCGGTTTCCATTCACACTGGCTTCCTCACCACTGGCCCCATGACTCCCCTTCTCACCCCGGCCAACTCCACTGGACCGCAGCTCTCCGCCCCCTGGACGCAATTCACTGGCTCCATCGCCGCCACCCACAATACTCCGATGCCCGCCAACGGACACAAGTACCACCAACCCCAGGATCCTCCCTACAATGGGCCCAGATCGATATCCCTAAGTACGACCAATACGCCCATGCCTCCCGTGCGTACCTCGAAGATACCTATCCCGCCATTTACTCCCCTACCACCGGCTGCAAAATGTTTTCCACCATGACACAATCCAAACGCGACTGGGCAGCTTCCCTCGCGCACTTACACGACCCACACTTCCACAAACAGTGGTTCTCTGCCCACTGAGGTACCCTCCGCCGAAACTGGCACTCCACATGTACCACCGATGTGGACAAATACGCTCCGTAGGGGGCCTCCCTCACAGAAAATAACAACAATATTCGGCTCAAACGCCAACACCACGACACCGCCCCAACGGCCATGATCGCCATATACGCACCCGCCGTGCTCATCTGTAGGCCAAGTCACGATTCTGGCACTCCCGTCGACTCTCCTTACTGCCACCGGCCACTCCATCACCCATAGGGAGCAACACCCCGCCGATTCTGCCTCTGCGCCGCCCCCAGACCCTGAATTACCACCTCCAGCAGCCTAAGCACACCGCTTTCCTGGTGCCCGCCACAAAAAGGTTTCCAAGTACTAGTAGTTAGTCCGCTAGCTCCAAAAGCAGCTAGTACGCGGCCGAGGCCATTAAGTGCCCACTGAGTGATTTTAACTTTACAGCGTAATATCAACTCAGGTTACTATCGTAGTACTGTTCGAAAAGGTGTATCCGGATGTGATAATTCCCTCATTGAAACGGTACTGTATTTCGGGTAAAAACAACATTGGAAGTGTTTTTTAATGAGGGAATTATACTTCAGATTTTGGACCCAGCGAAATCCGTATACAAGAGGTCCATTATCCGGATACACTGCTGTCCTATAAGCTATTTTTAGATGCCGCTCATCGCGAGCGCATTTAGAATTTGCGTCGCGGCGGCGTGGACTGGAGCATGGACAGCGGCGGCGGGAATCCCAATGTGAACATTGGCAACTACAAGGGTGTGATGCTGTGCAACCGGCCCTTCAACGGGGTCGCTTCAGGTACTTCCCCGTACACTCGTGTCTTCGTCATGTTCACCCCAACTGTCACAGGGCCGGCTACGACGTTCAAGGACACGGATTACTCGTCCAAGAACGCCCCGTTCCTCACTGGCATACATCCGCCTACGATCGGACAGAATGTTCCCATCTTCAACGAGCCACTGGTACCAACCTAACACTCGCATTCAAACGAGCACATTCTAAGTACATCGTAGCATGCAATCAAACGCGACAAGAAGAACACTGCGTTGTCCAAGCATAAGAAATGGCTCCATGATTTGCAAAAGGAGCGTGACCGGTTGGAAGAAGCGCTCATGGAGGACGAGGACGAGAAACAGTTGCGAAGGGACCGGTATATATAGTAACATCAAGTGCACCGTTCATTCCTGACAAACTGTACGGCACATCATCACATGTAGCTTTTCCAAACGAGAAGCGGATTTCCGAGCCCAAGTACGCCGCACGAACCCCGAAGAAGACGGCGCCGACCCGAAGGGAGCGAGACGTCCGATGTGGGCTTTGACAAAGGAGACGGCTGACGAGAAGAAGGCCCGCGACGAAGACGAGGACGTCGACGACTTACTCGAGTTCGCCAACAACTTGGACCTGGATAGCTTCATGGACGACGTCGAGCTGAAGGCGCACGTGGCACAAGTAAATGAGCAACTGTCCAAGTTGCAGGCCGTGGTCAACCAGGAGGAAGGCGAAGAGAAGAAATCCGAGATCAAGGACATGCTGAATGCGGAAAGGGCCGAGCGCCAGACACTCAACGCCGCTGCTTTGTCTCGACTTGACGGCGCCGACACCAAGGGAGTAATCGACGACGACGCCGCGTCTGTCGCATCGGTACTTGTTGACGGTTTCACAATTACATGCATTCTAATGTTGGAATGAATGTATAGACCGTGTTGTCAGAATGCAAGTCGATTCGATCGGTGCACTCGACGCGGTCCGTGATGGCGCTAACCCGACGAGCGGAAGATAAGCTCCTCAGCGCGAAGCTGGCGTCGGTACCGGAAGGAGGCAGAAGCGGCATTGTTCCGACGCCCCATGTGGTCACCCACGACGAGGAGTGCGGCATGCGCCTGCAGAACAAACTCCTTCCCAGCAACCTCCCTTACATCCACCGCAACCCAGCCATATAATGGAGCACTGGGACAAAAGCTGTAACGTTAATACTCGGGGGAACAAAATAGACTTTAATGAACGCAAGTGAATACTACAACAGGCGTAACGACGAGCGCGTGGTCGGACGAGGCGGCCTGTGCTGCAACGCCGCCGCACGATGCGACAGTTTCCGCTTCTTCGACGGGGAAGGAGTGGTGATTTGACGGAACGCAATGGCCATTCTTCGCTGATTAACTTGACCATCCTGGGTGGACAGGCGCGAAAACAGGGGCTGCACTGACGGCGACAGCGTGCCTCGATAGGCGATGGGCGAAGGTTCCGGTGTCCACGTGAGTGGGTAAGGCAGCACGGACGAGTCTGCGGAGATGGGACGAAGTGGGGACGACGGCGGTGGGGTATAGCAAGGTGAAGATCGGGATTGACAGTGAATCGACACATTCGTCACAAAAGGCGGCGTAGCGTGGCGAGGACTGGAAAAAGCATACACGATGGGTGTGCTGTTAAGGAGTAGGTCCACATCCGCGGCGATACTGCCGGATACATGGCGAGGAGACGTAAACCCATAGAAAGGCGATGTCGTGGGAGGTGTCTTGCCACTAGCTGTGACTGGCGATGGAAGGAGTAGGGGCAACGAGCGCGGGGAACTTGCACGAGGACGACGCACTCCAACGGCGACGGGTGAAGCTGGTGTTTGAGACGCGGAGTGTTTGGACGTGTCGGCACGCTTTGAGGCAACTTTGGCTTTCCGAGATTGCATGACTTGGTTGATCAGCCCTGACCGCGAGGCTTTCTTCACCGGAAGATTCGAGGGAGAAGGGGCGAGTGATGCTCCGATCAAAGACGCTGCGACCATCTGGGGGTTGTTGGCAGCATGCTGGACAAGCGGGCGTGTCAGCGCAGGTCGAGGGGTACTTGTAACTCGAGGGTGCTCATCTTGGATCGCCGCGAGGTGAACTTCGGCACTCGTGAACATCCAACCATTACTGCGTAGGCGGCGCTTGCCGTCTTGGACGTTCAAGTGATTCCCTTCGATGGCCCGCTTCATGTTGTCAAGTGACAACTCGCACCAAACACCACACCATCTTCTTCCGGATAGAACTCTTCGAAGTGATACCCCGCATGCGATCCTTCCGACACTTGCGCCATGGGTCCATTACTGTACCCGCCCACCACTCGTCCAAGCCGCCCGCCACAGAGAAACCACCACAGAGTGAACATCACCGACGCCAAACATCCACAGGGGCGAAGTCTATGTGCTTGCCCATCTTCCATCACGTCCTCATGTCCTTATGCGCCGCCCCCTTCTTTGCCTTCTCGCGGCGCTTGGCTCGTCCAAGGCAATGTATAACCTTAGGTATAGTATGGACGCGCTTCGTTCGCGCGCAATTGATTCGGATAATATCCGGATATCTTCTCGCGACCTTTGATTGGTCACTTTTGGGATCTTTGGCGGGATTCGGCCAGGAACGCATTCTGATTGGTGGAATTTGTGTGGATTCCAGCCCAGTATCAAGCGGGGGGGTTTGTGGTGGAGGGTAATTTTCCAAGGGTATAAAATCTTGCGAGGCTGTTTCGGATAATGAAGCGCTCGTTCGAAGAAGATGTCGGAGAAGGTGCCGCCCAACCGGTCCGTGGAACTCGACAGCGCCGAAACGACCAAGGCGGATGGGGAATCCTTAGCTTCATCAAGCATGTGCCCATCCTGAACAAATTGGTGGCGGCCGCTGAAGACGACGACATCGAGACGGAAGATCTCTCCGTTGACCTCGCCGAGACCCCATCTCCCAAACGCACCATCCAACCCAAGTCGCCTCTACGACGGGCAAGTGCCGTCACCCCCAGCCAAGGTAGCGACAACAAGCGGTCATTTACCTTTCCTCGGGCGACGGGTGACGATGAAGAAAAGACATCGGCGTCGCCTGCGAAACCACGCTTCGAAAGCATCGAACAAACGTCGGCCAACGCATTTGTATTTACGCGAAAGAGCCACAACACGACTCCAAACAAGCAGCAAAAGGTCGTGCCCTCCAGCGTCCACGACCAAACCATCGACGTGTCGGACTTTTACACACCAGGAAGCTTTGCCCCGCGCCACGTCCCAACCAAGGAACAAGTCCAACCGCCTGTCGCCGAGAGCACGGTGGTGCTTCCAATTCAGCTCTTTGGCGATTCATCTTCGTCCAACCCGTCTCGACTGAGTCGTGGGGGACTGATCAAGAAATTCACGCTCTCCCGCGAAGAACGCCGCCAGAAACGCCCTGTCCCGTCGCGCCTGCTGGCCAACCACTCGGCAAACGCTCGTGAAAACTCCAAGCTGATCACGGAACGCATCTTGGCGACATTGAACGCCATGGACGCCGATCCGCTGGCCCAAGAGACGCAGAAACCCGCCCCGAGCATGTCGATGTCGTGGGGAAAATACCATTTGGACCTCGTGGAACACGCCAATGCATCGACCACAGACCAGGTAGCACCCGAAGGCGTGTCTCGGCCGCCGGTCACCTCGTTGAGCTCCACGTTGTCCAAGCCCGCCGCCTCATTGGTGACGCCTTCCGCTACGGCCGAACCCTCCAGACCCCCGCCGGTCAAACGCGCTGCTGGCGAAGTCTTCTTGTTCGGGTTCTCCACCCCGCCGCCCGCCTCTGGCAGCGTTGCGTCCGACGCGGAAACGCTGCTGAACAAGCCGGTCAAGTACTCGTTTTCCAAGCCAACCAAGGTCATCCCGTCCAAGAACGCCACGTCCGCCAAGCCATACCAGTTTGTCAGCGCGCCCGTGCACGCCCCCACGATCATCCGCAATGCGTCTCCACCGAGCCATGCCGCCGCCGCCGCGGCGCCTCTGCCGTCGCCTGCATCCTCCTCCGTGAACCCATTGGACAAATTCAAAGCCCGCAAACCGGGCAGCTGGACGTGCAGTGCATGCCTCGTCAACAACTTGGACGCCAAGCTGACCCAATGCCCCAGCTGTGAAACGCCCAAGGAGGCGGCGACCTCGACGCCTCCTTCGTCGAGCAACCCGCTGGCCAAATTCATGCAGCACGCAGCCGGCAGCTGGGCCTGCCCGTCCTGCAAGGTGCGCAACGGCCCGTCGCAGTCCAAGTGTCCTTGCTGTGAAACTGCCAAGCCCACCGACGACCAACCAGCGCCAACTCCGTCGACCGCTTCGGTTGGGGGGTTTGCTTGTTTTGGCGCCAGCGACAAGCCATCTACTTCTTCTTCGTCCAACGATGCGGGACTTGACAGATCCAATGAAGGCAAACCCGCGCCCCCGTCGTCCGGGTTGTTCTCGTTTGGAGTCAAAGAGTCCGCCGCCCCTGCTGCCAACGTATCGTTTGGCGTCCCATCCGAGCCAAAGGCGTCTGTGACACCGGCGGCGACGACGACCCTGGGGGTCTTTTCCTTTGGAGCTCCTGCCGAGACTAACACCAAGCCAGCCACGGGATTTGGCTTTACGTTGGAGTCGAAAGCGGATAAGACTGGAGGTGATGACAAGCAAAACAAGCCCGCGTTTACGTTTGGTGCCGCGACTTCTGCGTCGGATAAAGCCACGAGCGACGACAAGACGGCCAAGACGGCGTCGTTTGGGTTTGGAAAACCCGTTGACACGTCAGAGGACAAACCCACCACTAGTGGTTTTGGTGCTACTAGTACTACTACTAGTACTACTGCTCCTACTACTGGGGGAGGCGGGTTTTCATTTGGGACGCCCGCTTCTCCGTCAACTGGGACCAAAGAGCCCGTGTTTTCATTTGGAGACGCGGCCAAGCCGGCAACGTCGTCGGCATCGACTGAACCTGCGCCTTTAACGTCCTTTTCGTTTGCACCGCCAGTGTCCAAGAAACGATCAGCCGACTCGGAACAAGACGGAGCAGGCCCGACCAAAGTGGGTGGAAGCGGTGCTGGTTTTGGCAGTTCAACCTCTTCCTTTGGCAGCTTAGCGTCGACGTTTGGGTCTGTTCCTGCTGATAAACCGTCGACGTTTGGGTCTGTTCCTGCTACCTCTACCTTTGGCGCTGCCCCTGCTACCTCTACCACTGCTACCCCTACATTTGGGGCTTCAAGTGGCACTTTGGCGTCGGGTGCGGCCCCCACGACGGCCGCTCCAGCTGCTTCGACCTTTGGGGCTTCAAGTGGCACTTTAGTGTCGGCTGCGGCCCCCACGACGGCCGCTCCAGCTGCTTCGACATTTGGGGCTTCAAGTGGCACTTTGGCGTCGGGTGCGGCCCCCACGACGGCCGCTCCACCTGCTTCGTCCACGTTTGTCTTTGGCAGCACTGCTCCTCCCCCTTCGTCCACTCCGCCCAAGGCGACTCCGGCCTTTGGTGGGTCGTTCGGGGCTCCTGCTGCCGCGCCATCGACTTCGTTTTCGTTTGGCAGCAACACCACTGCTGCACCCAGTGGGGGCGCGTTCGGGGCTCCTGCCGCCGCTGCTCCTGCTGCCCCCGCCGCGCCGACCTCGGCGTTTGGTGCGACGTCCTTTGGCGCCGCCGCCCCCTCTGCGTCGTTCGGCCAGTCCCCCCCCACATCGTCGTCCGCCTTCGGTGGCGGGTCCACGTTCAACTTTGGGTCGGCACCGGCGACGACTGGGGCGTTTGGCGCCCCTGCTGCTGCTCCGGCCTTTGGAGGGTCTGCTCCGACCTCCTCCAGCTCGTTTGGAGGTTCCTTCGGGGCGCCCGCTGCCCCGACGTCATCTGGCTTTGGCGCCCCACCAGCTGCCTCCGGTGGGTTTGGCGCCCCGACTCCTTCATTTGGAGCCCCCCCGTCGTTTGGAGGTGCCCCACCAGCTCCAGCCTCAGCTGGATTTGGCGGGTTTGGAGGCTTCGGCCAACCAGCCCCCATCACGGCGGCTGCCGGCAGCTTCAGCATGGGCGTGGCAGAACCCAAGAAATCAGCCGCCGGCCGAAGAATAGTCAAAGCCAAGACCGCCGGCCGTCGCCAATCGCAAAATTCATAAGACTTGGTAGGTATAATAACAGCGAGGGTATAATTTAATAAAGTCGAAATTAAATTCATAAGACTTGGTAGGTATAACAATAGCGTGGGTATAATTTAATAGAGTCGAAATTAAATTCATAAGACTTGGAAGGTATAATAACAGCGAGGGTATAATTTAATAGAGTCGAAATTAAATTCATAAGACTTGGTAGGTATAAAACAGCGAGGGTATAATTTAATAAAGTCGAAATTATCATTGAGAACTACTGTACACTCACTGTACCAGTTTGAGTGTAGAGGCGGTGTAAAGTAACAGTACAGTATACATACATGGCCGCATTAGTGATCGGATGGTGCTTCAACGAAGGTTCACAACATGTTGGTGTACGTACAGTATACTACTATGTAGTCAGTGGAAGGACTTTTGCCCTCCAAGATGAGACGCGCTTGGTGTGAAAGTCTCTTCAAGGGACAACGGCATTTGGGTAGTTTGGGGATGGCGTTGGCAGGTTGAGAGCCTCGAGAACATCGTTACGTTGCTCGAACAATAGCCCATTTCGTTCAACGGTCTTTCCCGCCGAGAGTTTCGCATGTGTCAAACCTCATTTCACCACTTTCCAGGCGCCGCCGCCCCACTCAACCCCCTCCTTTCCCTTTCTCCAGACTAACTTCACCTTCTTTACCCGTCAACGCCTACCAGGTCCCCGAGTGTCGGTCCGCCGATTGTGTAACTGCCACGTTATCCGGCAAACCAGGCAGTTTATCCGGATAACCACTGTTCGTGCTGCCTGTTCCCTCTCTATTTCTGCTCACTTCTGGTTCAGGTGTCCACAACGACGACTGCGCGTCTCGAGTGCGTGATTCCTCCGGCCGCCCAAGCACGATGAAAATCCCCCAGCAGCACATCTCGCCATTCAACATCGACAAAGACACCGACACAGGTGACCCTCGTAGTTCTCCTACGACCGTCTCCCCTGTCGTCTTCTTTGCCGTCCTCGGCAATCGATCCCTCGTGCTTCGTGTCACCGAGGCCATGTCTGGCATCCCATTTATCCTCTCATCTTACTTTATAACTCAAAAGCTCGACCGACCCACGCTCAGCTTCAAAGACAACAGCCTGCTCGGGTTCGCCGCCTCCAACGGACACCTCAGTGTCGTGCAAGCCGCTGTCGCCCACTTCCGCCACCAAGGCCGCTGCATGGAGTATGCGATCTTCTGCGCGACGGTGTCCGGACAACTTCACATCCTCGAATGGCTCTTCTCCAACTACACCATCCCGCCGCCACCCACAATCTCCATGTACGCGCTCAACGGTGCCGCCAAGCACGGACACCTCAATGCGCTTCAATTCCTCCACGCCCAAGGTTGCACCGGGTGGAGCGCCGACTGCATGGACAGCGCAGCCGCCCACGGTCATTTGAGCATCGTGAAGTTTCTGCACACGCACCGGACCGAAGGCTGTACGACCTTTGCCATGAACCAGGCGGCGGAAAACGGCCATCTGGACGTCGTGCGCTTCCTCCACGAGCACCGCACCGAGGGCTGCACGTCGTTTGCAATGAACCAGGCTGCCAAGAACGGACACTTGAGTATTGTGAAGTATTTGCACACCCACCGTACCGAAGGCTGCACCACGTACGCAATGACCAGTGCGGCGTTTTCGGGACATTTGAGTATCGTGCAATTTCTACACTTTCACCGTCAAGAAGGGTGCACGAAGGAGGCGATGGACGGCGCGGCGCTGTACGGCCACCTAGACATTGTCAAGTTTCTGCATGAACACCGGTCGGAAGGATGCACGGAGCACGCGATCAACTGGGCGGCTTCCAGGGGTTCCCTCGACATCGTTCGCTACCTCCACGCCAACCGGGTAGAAGGCAGCGTCAGTCGCGCCTGCGCACTCGCCGCCCGGTTTGGGCACGCCACGATTGTGAATTGGTTCCAGACACTTTGAATTCCTGTATGTTTATATAATACTAGTCCACCCTGTCCTGTTAGTTATTAGTATTAGCGTACTAGTGTCAGCCTGCCTTAAATAGCTCAGAGCAGCTATGACTAGTATAAGGTTGTAGGGACGAGTACAGTACAGTAGCCTGCTGAGATGATGTGCAGCAGAACCAGGAAGCTTTGGAATCTGGTCGCCGTTCACTTTCCTTCTTCAGGCTAGTCTGAAACTTATCACAAAGACAACACTGTACCCTTAACGTTATCGCTCGCTGATAAGGCTACCGTGGAAGTATGTGGCCATTAGAAGTGCACTCTTCTAAACAATATGTTACAGTACTATGTATGCCCAATAACGTTACTACTGTGTGCAAGTTGAAGTTGCTTTATACGGATACGGATAATCAGTCTAAATTTAGGCGCATGTTGACGATGGAAAGGCTGCGTCGACCCAAGACGGCTGCTGCCACCCTGCCTCGGACATCAAAGCATGACGTAGCAACGTCTCGTTCAAAGAAGTCTGCCGTGAGAATGCATGCTGGGAAGTCGCTTTCATCGCCCGTGATGTGTCCCCCACTCCACCCCGATTCTGCCCTTCGTCCAGTCGTTGCAGTCACCAAGACTACGATTCACCTCACAGCCAACATTAACGTCAAAGTGCAGCCAGATTCCCCCATCATGGAGAGCAATCACCAGCGTGTAAATGCTCTGGCGAAGAAGTCTGCCCACCCGCACCTCCACGCAGACATCGACTTTGACGGTCTGCGGCCGCTCGTGGACATTGCGTACTGGTCCACGTTCAGCGAAGTCCGACGAGACGCCGCGGCCGCCTTTGCTACTTTGAGCAAGAACGGTAACTACACCAAATCCCCATCTATCCGTCTTCTCATTCTTTCGTTCGTTCGACCAGCGGCCAATCTCGATATTTTGGCGCAAGCCGGCGGCCTCGGCGCCGCCCTCGCCCTGCTTCACGGCGCCAAATCGCACATGGACCTGTGTGTGCTTCGGGACGCCAGCGACACTCTTTTACAGCTCGTACTTGCCCTCCTTTGTCACGTCCGTCCATCTCACACGTAGTTAGGTCCAACTGCCGTCCATTCAACTCAAGCTACTCCATGCCCCCAACGGCATCGCAAGCATCTTTGCGCTCCTCCGTGTCGCAGACGTCCACGTCAAACGAACGGCCCTGCGCATCCTGCTTCAGATGCTGCACCTCCCCGACGCCGCGCCGTTCCTCGTCACATACGGGGGCTTCCGCCTGCTCCTGCATCTCCTGCGCACCGTCGCTATTCGCAAAGACACGAAACTCAAGCAACTCGCGGCCCTCGTACTCAAACGACTGGCCGTCCCCGAGCGCAACAAGGACGCTGTCGCAGACGAGCCCGATATTGCCAAGATACTGTGCCAGCTGTTCCAGGACCCGTATCTCGATACGGACATGGCGTTCCGCCGCGATCTGCTGGAAACCATGCTCCTTCTAGCCCAAGACCGCCGGGCCGCGCGGCACTTCGTCGAGTTCAACGTCGTGCCCAGCCTCCTCCTCATGCTCGCGTCGCCCCCATCCCAGGTCGCCACGTCATACCTCGTGATTTCGCTGCTCGAAGTGTTTGCATCCAACCCCCGGAACCTGCCCAGTCTACTCCACGACGACATCCTCCCCCCGCTGCTCTCATGTGCCTTCCACCCTCCTCCGTCCAACATGCATGTGGACGTTCGTATCAAGGCTCTTATGGTTCTCAACCACATCGTGCTGCTTCCATCAGACACCCGCCAAGTGCTGCTGGATCTCGGCATCGTCGAGCTCATCTCGTGCGAAAACGTGCACCTTGCTCCCGACAAACGAGTCAGGAAACTCGGAGTGTCGCTTCTCACTTCGCTCCCCGTTATCATTGACATGACGCTTCCAAGGGACACGAATGCAGATGCCGTCGTGGACAAGGCCTTCCACCTGGACATGATCGCACGGGGACTGCTGCCGTGCCTCATGGACGTCCTTCGGGAGGACGCCGCCAGTTGCGGGGATGTAGTGACCGCCATGTGGCACCTCTGCGAGAGCGACTGTCCCCGCCTCCTGCTGTGCAAAGAGCCAGTGCTCGAAGCGTTTCTCGCGCTCTCCATCCACCACGACGTCGGGTTGAAGACCAAAATCGCCAAAATCTTCGCCGACTTTGCCACCAAGGCCGAAAACACGCACAAACTCGTCGAGTCGCGGATCGTGCTATTCCTCGTCAAGAGCATCGCGCCGTCGTGTCGACATGCCGCGCTGAGGTTGAAAGTGTATATGCGACAACTGACGAGATATGCGACACTGATGAGGGAGAGGTCGTTCGTGTAGGTACGAAGCAACGAGGGCGTTTGTGGGGCTGGCGGCGACAGGCGACGAGCAAGTGCGCGACCGCCTCGTGCAGTACGGCGTCGTGGGGTTCCTCATTCGCATCACCAAGCGCCAAGATCCGAAATGTCCCGTCGTGACGGCCACGTGTGCTCAGGCAACCCTGGCCGTGCAGCACCTTCGGCACGACGCCGCCGCGCTGCAGATCCAAGGCATCATGCGCAACTGGTTGGTGCGCAAGGCGACGCAAGCCATACGCTTGGACGCATACACAAGCAGACTGTCGCCGCGGAAGAAGCGCTTGCAGCACGTCGCCATCCGCGCTGGAAAGGTCCTCGTGCCCAGGGAACACGAGTCCACCGAAGCAATCCAAAGCCGGTTTCTTGGCGCGTAAAGTTTTCAATGAAACCTCTTTCAATTGATCAATTTATTGGATTTGACAGTTACATATTCAACTTCATGATGGAGTACGAAGCAGAATCGCCGCCGCTATCGCCGACGCCGCAGTCTCCAGTGCGAGAAAGGAGAGGAAATGATGGTCCGATGGGATCTATTCTCATGAGCTGCTCCATTGACAATGTCAAGCACTTGTACACGATGTTGCTTTGCTTGAGTCTTGGGCGGAAGAAAGATCAGCTCGTGCGCTGTGACATCGATGCATCTGGTACAACATGCGTGGAAGGTTGGTCCTGATTTCGACTAGGAATGTATTTCACAGCACACTCCAAAGGAAAGTCTCTGCAGGTACCACCTACACTTCATGCATGGATTGTCTGTCTACTGGAAGAAATCGTGTAGGTCAAGACGAGCTTGGCCAGCGACCTCTTCGACTCGTTCGCGTACCATGTCGACGAGACATTGGGGTTCCGCATCTCTCTACCCCATCTCCTCGAAGGGTTAAGCGTGTTTGGTATGTCGTCCTTGGCGTCGACATCTGTCACATGGAGCTTCGACGAGGACTCGGCCTGCTTTCAAATGGTCCTCACCGACAACGGAATCCTCGCAGAGTGTGCGATCCAGGTCCTCGTGGAAGACGACCTCCACGACTTCACCCAGGGGGACTTTGAGCGATCGTTTGAGGGTTCTGCGGTCGTCGGCCGCGTTATCATCCAGTCGAACGCGCTACAAGAAGTAGCACAAGAGTTCGCCGACCTGCCACCCGCCGCTCCCGTCACCGTTCGCATGCACCCGAACGACGCATTCCAGCTGCAAGCGTCATCCTCGGAAGGGAACTCGTGCGAGATCGACGTAGCCAAGACATCGCCCGCGCTCATCGAGTACGCCACTGACGCCGACATCGCGTCCACGTTCCAGTGGAGCTTGCTGCACGATGCCTTCCACGGCCTCGGTATTGCCGCGGAAACATTCATCCGGCTCAATGCCCACGGATACTGCTCCATCCAACACATGGTTCATCTTGGATCGAAACGGGCATTCGTCGATGCGCTCTTGTGCCCGGATGCCATGTAACTGTTAACCACCAACTAACCATTCAAACTGTTTTGCCCATATACATAACGATTAACTAACCATTCAAACTGTTTTGTCCATATATTGTCGATTTGATACAAATTTGGGGAGGGGGTGCAATCGAATCGCGCCGACCAAACCGATCCACAATCGATCTGATTGGTTGAATTTCATTTAGAATGTTTTGATTGGTTAATAATTTTGAGCTCTTCTGAAGTAGCCAATCAAATCGATTTAAATTCCAACGAGAAACCACGCCACAAGCACAATATATAACGATTAACTAACCATTCAAACTGTTTTGTCCATATATAACGATGAACTGTTTGAACCTTCGACCATCATTCTTGAAACGATACTTTAGCGATAGTCCCTTCATGGGAACTGATGGAAAACCTCGTCCCGCGAGTACTTTCCAAGGAGGTCGGTCTCAGATATGATCTGTCATGAAACTTTGGTTTGCTAACTCGTGCTGTGGGTTGATTTTGCATATGAATACTGTCATTTGAATGTGATTACGGTGGTTATACTGTGGATTTCGGGTCCTTTGGAGGCAGGCGCAGTCGATTCCATTGTCGGACCACAATTGGCGTGACGAAAAACGTTAGGGGCCATCGGATCGGTGCCAGAAGCTTGTAGATCGCATATGTGACCATGGCGTTGCTGGCAGCTTCGACACCCGCGCTCCCTTGATCGGTGGAGTTGGCGAGGGCGACGGCCTGGACGCTGGTGGTCCAACTGCCGAGGAACGTGCCGACGTCTAGTCCTCGGGAGATACTCACGTACAGGAGCGAGTAGGACGCCACGGACAGCGCCGTGTGGGTCACTACGCCGACCATGCCGTATACTTTGAGGAAGCGCTTCCCTTTCTGGGCCAAGGACTCGTTCGTGGGAACACCAGCAGCATCGAGCGACGGTAGTGGGGCACCGTCCCCGTTGTCCTTGACTTTGGGCGATGGAATGATGGGAGAGGATGATGTGCTCATTTTGCAGGCCGAACGGAGTGCTGGGATGGAGGACTGTCGGCGCAACTGTCGACCTGCGATGCTTCGGACTCGACCAAGCATGTGTGCGAGGCACGTGGGCGTTACGTGGAAGCCTCACGGCGCAATTGGATTGGTCATTAGAAAACCACTCCCAGCCAATCACAAGTCCCTATTTACGAATGTTGGACTAAAGGAGATGAGCCACCACGACGTGTTCGACGACCTGTACGTGCATGATGCAATCTGGCAAGGAAGGTCCTCACACTCAGTCGTAGCTATGAGCGCATGCTGCGCAGACATGCGGTTGTCTCAGTGGAGGCTCCCCACTCTGACGTCCCAGTGACGACGTCACCATCAACGTCCACCGCCAACAGAGTCGAGGCGACGTCCCGATCAGTGTACTTGCGACGTTGCAAACGGCGTGCACAACTACGAGAAAGGAAAGCGAGTTCCCGCGTACCCCAAGCCTGCCCTCGGCGTTATTCGCTTGCATTTGTGGAGTCTGGTACGCTCCTTCTTCCGCATCTACACTCCCTCCTCACACTCCACCGTCCGTCCACACAGTGCAACGTCTCGAGCGACTGGTTTCGTCCGTGTTCCCGCACGCCCCACGCCCCCACATCGTCGTGTTCGGTCGGTTTTCATACCGCCAGGACACCTGCGTCCCATCCCCCCCTCCACGTTCCTTCTCAACATGACATCCTCCCATTATAGTACTCTGGTTATGATCGTGAATTGTGATACGGAGCTTAGTTAGCTTGTTGGACGTATCGTTCAAAGACGGGTCGCGCCGCCTTGATGTTGAGTTGCGTCGTGGCGGGCTGGATGGTGTCGTCGCTCATGATGACCATGATGTACGTGTTGTTGGTGAAGAAGTCCATGAACGCCGTGAAGTTGGAGTTGCGCACTTCCATGCCCTGGAACTGCGCCTGCGTCTTGGAGCAGCTCAGCTTGAACTGCTTGATGATGTTGGAGATCTTCTCGAAGCGGTGAATGTCGCGGTGGCTCTTGTGCGTGGCGTGCGCAATCACGAGGAACGTGGCGCGCTCGAACAGCACCACTTCGTCCGCGTTGCAGATGGCGCAGAACTCATTCAGGTGGTTCTCCAGGTCTTGCATGTTGGGGATCAGCGAGTACACGATGGACGACCACGCGCGGTAGAGCGTTTCATCCCAGATGGACGTTCCAAAGCATACTGTCGGAATCGACTACATCGAGATAAGGGAGACGTGGGAGGATGGATCGAGTAGGGATGGACGTACCCCCGTGCGAGATAGGATCATCTCCTTGCGCTGGTCGAACACGGCGTCGCGCTGCGACTCGGGCACGAGGTCCATCTTGTGGATGAGCACGAACACCTTGGCCGACTCGGAATTCTGCTCGATCGCTTCGAGGCATCCGTCGAAGTGGTTCATGTCCTTCTCCAGCTCGCGGGACTCGATGTCGAACACGTAAATGAGCAACTCCACGCTGCGGAAGATGTGGTCGCGCTGGCTTTCAAAGTAGTTTTCGTAAAACGCATCTTGGCTGCAAGGACGGGTTAGACTATTGGGACGACAGGATGGAGAGGACGTACCCGCCGCAATCCCACAAGTTGAGCACGAGATTCCCCAGGAAGCGCACGTGAGAGTGCTCTACGTCCAATGTCGGGCCGAGACGCATCGTGTCGCGAGCTACATGCGATGGTAAGCGACGGAGAGGCACCCGTTGAGCTTACCGAGGTAGTTGGCAAAAATGATGGATCGCATGGAGGTCTTCCCAGACCCTGACTTGCCCATCAATAGCACCTGCACACATGTGGATCATAAGTCTAGCACCTCGCGGCACCATCGACCGTACCTTCTTCTTCATCGTGGGGGTCTTATCGGTGCTTTCACTTTTTGCGATTTGGCCCCTCGGCGCACTTTATAGAGCTTGGAGCAATATTTTGAAAAATAGGTTGGAAATTGAGAAATTCGTGAAAATCAACCAAAAGTCCAACTCATGTAGGCATTTGTTGCACTCTAGTCACCATGCTCCGTCCAATGGCAGTCCTAGCATCGGCGGCAGCGCTCCTCCTCTCTGGTACGGACATCCATCAACCATCTACGCCGCTCATCCTACATGCCCATCCTCTGTAGGAGTCCGTGGCCAGTCCATTTGCGACGCTACGACGTGTCTCCTGCTGCCGAACGACATCTGCCTTCGACGCAATGGCTGCGGCCCCTGTGTGGCTCCATCGCAGGACCTCAACGCCGCCTTGGACTACACTTGCTATCCGCTCAACAACGACGACTTTTGCGACAAAGGCGTGTACTGCCCGACCGACCCCGTGCGAACGACGACGCCGGCTCCAACGACTACCCGACGCTCTCCAACTGTCCCTACGGCAACCCCCCCCACCACACTCCCTACCACAGCATCACCATCAGCACTTCCTACCACAACATCGCCGGTTCCCGAACCCCCCGCTCCACCTCCGCCGTCAACAACTCCTTCCGCGTCAACGTCATCGTCGTCCACGGCATATATCTTGGTGGGCGCCGCCGTTGTGACGGCGCTCGTGGTGGCTGGATGTTGTGTGGTGCGGAAACTGCGGCGAAATAACGCGCACCTGAAAGAGGATCCTCTGGACGAGAACGAAGTTAACAGCACGATGGCCATGAACGACTACGTTGCGCTCAAGGAGCAGGAACAGCTCGCCCGAGAGGCGTCGTCCCATCCACAAGGAGCGGCGGCCTCGAAGGAGCGCGTGCTTATGACGACGTCGTCGTCGTCGCTGGAGAATGAAGAGGCAGATCTGTGGGGAAATGTCAACCCCCACACAAGCAGGACAGCAGTACCCCCCAGTTTTTCGCACCCAAACTACTTGAACCAGTCGTCCTAGTTGTATATGTAACGTGACATTCCTGCTTATGACCTATTCTGCCTCGAGGCCCCACACGAGTAACTCGTAGATGGTCACGCGGCCGTAGAAGTCGCTGCTTTTGCCAAACACGACGCGCAATTGGGTCGCGTTGTCGCACGACACGTCTACGGACTGCATCGCATTGCCGTCGTCAAAGTGCTTGGACACTGGCAGCGCATGGAACTCCGTGGGGGACTCCATCGTCGTGACCAGGAATTGCACGTCTTCCCCAACGAACCCACCTTGGAACATCACATGCACTTGACGGATGTGGACGTGGCGATGGAAAGACAGAAGCACTTGCTGCGGGGTCCCTTGGTCCGAGTTCCAGCATGTCACGTCCGTACCATCAAACATGTGCTACAACGAGGAGGATATATGAAACTTGCATGTACTGGAGATGGAACTCTACCTGTGCACCATAGGCCTTTCGATCTCGATTAAGGACCGACGACACGCGGCAAGTTGTCGGGGTGGCCGCGCCAGTCAACAAATTCATAGTGTGTCTACACAGCCATCTCGAGTTGTTTTAAATTATTTTCGCTTACATTATTGACACAAGCGATGTTTAAAACGTTTATGAGTATTTATTTTAAAATCCATTTTAAAATGGAATATTACGTTTAAAACGCGTAACCAACACACCTTATTCAAAGGAGAAAATTCGACGAACGGTTTCATATCGCCACCACGAAACAGTCGCAATCTTCCACCAAGTACACTGGACGACATTAGAATCGAACGCTCATGCTGGTGGGCATCGTTCGATCCACAGACGGCGCCTCGTCGTCCGTCCGTCCTGTCCTGGACCCCGCCACCATGCTCGTCGGCCTCGACGCAACATCGTCGCCAGCGTCATCGCCGCCTCCACGGACCCGAGATGATTCCTCACGTGGCCCCATGGAGATCACTCCGCACCTCTACCGCCTCTTTCGCGCGTGCGTCCTCGGCTTCCATGTCCTTTCCCTCGTGTACTTTGTCTGTTTTGCCTACGCGTCGTACACAGACATCTACTCGTCGTCCGATCCATCAACGGCATTGCCGGCGTCAGTTCAGCCCACGACATCCAGCGGCATCGTGCTTCTCATCCAAGTCATCACATCTGCCCTTCATCTTGTGCGTATCAAATCCCTCATGACGGCCGCATGCTTCCACCGAGCCGAGTACATCCCCTCGAAGCGACCTGCGGTGTTCTACCACCGCGTGTTCCTGTGGCTGAGCTTCCACGACCTGCTCGTCGTTCTGTCGCATTCTTACCACGGGCTGCTGCTGTACTCGTTCGTACAGTCCCGTGTTCTTGTCTTAGCCTACCTCGTGTTCGTGTGGGTCTACTCCATCCTCCCCTGCTTTCGCTTCAAGCGACTCTTCCTTCGCAACCCCCATCTCCGCCTCGTGTCGTTGGCATACGCGGTCGCATTGGATGTGCTGCCTGGCATTTGTCTGCGGATATGGTGGATGTTCGCATGCGACGACCCCATTGCCCATGTGGACGCGGCCGACTTCACCACGGGCGCCGCGTCGGCCTTCCCGCCGCTGCTCCTCCTCTCGACCTTGACCTCCCTCTCCGCCCTCGTCGCCAAACTCAAACCCGCGCGGTCGCCTCAAAAGGTCCGACGAGTGACCCACGGCCCCGCGTCACCGCTGCGCTTCGACTTTACTGAACCCACCATGTCGAAACAATCAAAATGGTGCTTAACGGCGCAACGTGCATCTCGTGTCGGCAGCGTTCTGTGGATATCTGCAGCGTTAAGCATGCTCATCTACGCTCTGACGTCCCATCCGTCCGCCCTCGACGGCTGCGTCCTCCTCCTCCGCCGTCCGTTCACAACCGTTCCCGTCGTATGCCGATCCTTCCAAATCGCGTGCGATTCCACGGCGCTGCATGTCCTTCTGGACCTCCCGCCGCCCACCGCCGCCTTCGTTATGGCCGTCCAATTCGCCAACTGTCCAGCCCTCGCCTTCGATGCCTTTGATCGAGTTCTGTGGCCAAACTTTAGGCGCCTGGAGCTGATCAACACCACCGTCACCTCGGCTGCTTCGGCCACGTACCCCACGCTTCTTCACGTCGTCCTGTCGCGGTCCAGCCTCTCCAAAGGTATTTGTTCGGTCATGATGATATTGTGTCGTTGTTGACATACCTCCCGCCGCGTCTATCATTAGACGCCACGACGCTGCTGCCCCCTTCGTTGATGTCGCTCAAAGCGTCCTCCAGCCGCCTCCCGGACGACGTCCTGCCGCCGCTGCCCCTCCTCCGGACCCTGGACCTCCGCCATACCCCGCTGCGGTCGTTCGACGGCGCCGCGATGCCCCGCCTCGTGCACGCGGCCGTGCTCCACGCCCAGCTGGCCATCTTGGTCGCTTGGCCAGCCAACAATCTCGTCGACTTGTGGCTGTCGGGCAACCCCCTGCACGCGATTCCGGACGAGATGCTCAACCTCCCGCGACTGCTCGTGCTCGCTGTGGACCGCACCAACCTCGATCGGGTGGGGGACCGCGTGTCCAGCAGCCTCCTGCACATCATCGCTACGGACACGCCACTCTGTCGCAGCATCGCCGCCTTTTTAACGCACGCGCAGATTCAATACACCCACGGCGATACGTCGTTGGTGCAGTGCTGACATCCAGTGTCGCAAGTGTACGGTACAATGGAATGTACAGTAGTACAGTGTCCCATTCCAAAATGTGTGCAATAAACAATACATCACCCATCCCACATGTCTCCTACTGTACGAAGCCTTCGTCTTTGCAAACAATTTACACTTTTTTAGGAAGTACTAGTAGTATTAATAAATGTTTATACTTTTAAAAAAGTACTTCGTATAACGTTTCTATTCAAAACACCTTGTGGTTTTACTATTAATATTTCGAAGTATAATATACTAACTACTACAGTAGTAGTACTACTACGTAGTATTTTTGGACAATAATAGCGAACGTTCAAGATTCATTTACTCCAAGTAATAATGTCGTTGCAAATGGCAATATTCGTCAAGATTTGCAGGAGGGGAGACATGCCGTGGAGTAGTAAAACATTAGATCGCGCAACGTTCCTCCTCCCCATATCCACCAGGATCGGCACCAACAACCCCATGGCGCCCCTGGTCACCCTCACGTCCACCGCGTCCATCTTCCTCCTCTTCTGCGTGATCAATGTGCTCAACTACGTGGACAGAGGCATCATTCCAGGAGCACCGACACAGTTCCAGTACTTCATCAAGGACACCCTCCATACGTCCATGACCGAGGAAGGCTTCTACCTCGGCGTCCTCGCATCCGCGTTTATCACGAGCTACGCCGTCTTCATCGTGCTCTTCGGGTACTTGTCCATCACGATGCGGCCGTTTCGACTCATCGGCGTGGGGCTTCTCATCTGGTGTGTGGCCCTCGTCCTATGTGGGCTGGCCCAGTCCGCCCAGAGCTTCTCGTTACTCTTGTTCGGCCGCGTTCTCAGCGGCATCGGCGAATCGTCATTCCAATGCATCTCCCCCGCCTTCATTGACGATCATGCTCCCGCATCCACTCGCACTCTGTGGATAGGCATCTTCTTCACCGGCACCTCGGTACGTCCACTCTTCCATCTATTGTCGCCGCTTACCAAGATCGCATGCAGGTCGGCACGGCCATCGGATACGGGTACGGCGCGTACTTTGCGCATTCGTCGTTTGGATGGTCTGCGGCGTTCTACGTAGCTTCGTTCCTGATGCTTCCCCTCGCTCTTCTATGTCTCTTTGCCATTCCCCGCGAGTTTGACGTGCCAAGTAGTAGCGTACCTCGACATGCTTTGTTCCTTCCATGTTCATGTCTAGCCAATAGGCAAACCTCCGCCGACCAAGGACGCTGTGGATGAATCCAGCCATCTCATCGTGCCTGCTTCTGGTCCGTCCAAGGACACAGCGCCGCCACCGTCGATCGTCCACGAAGCTGTGGACGTGCTCACCCATCCCATCTTCGTTCTGACGGTGCTCGGATCTGCCGCGTTTACCTTTACCATTTCAGGCCTCGGGGTCTTTGGCCCGCTATTCCTTCTCGGGTTGGGTCTGTTTCAGTCTGAGACGGAAGCATCCATGATGTTTGGGTCTCTTGTCGGTCAGTTCCACCAACCCCCCCCCCACTACATATCGTCCATATATCCCCATATTATTGCATATACACCTAGTCATAAGTGCGATGATTGGCACCCCCCTCGGCGGGTACATGTTGGACCGGTTCTCCGCGGGCGAGTCGCCTGCCCGCCGCCAGTACCTGGCGCTGGTGATCATGACGGTGCTCATGTCCGCGGGGGTGCTCCTGAGTCTGCTGGCGTGGTCCGCGCTTCCTTCCAAGACGCCGTTCCTCGCCCTCATCGCGCTCGCCCTCATCTTCCTCTTCGCCACTCCATCCTGCACGGCCGTGGCCGTCCTCCTCTGCGTGCCGCCCTCCCGGCGCAACTTTGCCGTGGGGATTTCCACGCTGCTGGTGCATGTGTTTGGCGACGTGCCGTCGCCCATCCTCCTCGGCATGCTCAAAGACATCTACGCGCCGCACTGTGGCAGCGTCGATATTGACCACCACATTGGGCTCAACCCAGAATGCAGGTATGTACGTACTGACCGTTCCAGTAACTGTATCGCATGTTTCTTGATCTTGTAGCCAAGACCAGGACGGCCTCAAGCTGACGTTCCTCGTCCCCATGCTGTGGCTGCTCTGGACTGTGCTGACGTGGTCGGCGGCGATTGTCGTCGCGCGCTGTCGCGTCCCCAGTCGTTATTAAGTGCCCTATATAACTTAATGCAACAAGTGTAATACATATACCCGATGCATATTGTTTGTACATTATTCTTTGTTATAATTGGTGAAATATTACCTCAATATACTATTAAACTTGATTTCTTCAGCCAATCAGAGCCTAAGACAACCAAATATAGTATATTATTCTACACTTTACTGTTAACACTCAATCGCCAATCAATCAACAAGGATCGACAATGGCTGCTCGCCAATGGGAATAGTATTGTGGAGCAAGTAGTTTTCGTTGTTGGCTTCCACTTGGCTTAGCTCGTACTTGTAGTTGACCATGAGTCCAGCGCTGTTCTTGAGCCCCTATATTTACAAGTATTAGAGTGGTAATTTAGCAGATATTAATTACCTTGGGCGACATATCGCCGAGCCAGTTCAGTCGCTCAAAGATGGCTCCGTTGCGAAGGTGGAAGTTGGCCACGGGACACAACGCCTTGCCGCGTTTCTTTTCTCGGAACAGATAGTGCGCTCCCAGTCGCATCAGGATGGGCTGCACCACCGCCACCACATGTTCAGTCGTGTGCCAGTCCGGGATGGCCAGCACTCGCTTTAACGTCTACGACCATCGATATATTATATAGCTCTCAATGTATATATATATATATATCTATACCTCGTTCGCATCAAAGCCTTGGTCGTCGTTGCCGCGAAGCTGTTTCAGTGCTGCCACGTCAGAATCGGTCAAGTTTGAATGTCCCTAATCCAAGGTGATTATGGACAACTTCTACGACAGTCGGCGGTACCGTTAGATGCAGCCACGCCGTAAACCCAGGGATGGGACTCAGTGTCGAGTAGACCGAGATATTAGGCAAGTCCTCTTGCAGGCGCTTGGCGACTTGTTTGATTAAAAAGTTGCCCAAGTCGACGCCCTATCACAAAGCATATATCAACCACGGGTATCCGTAACAGCCACACCTGCAACCCTGGCTGGGTGGACGAAATCGAGTAAAAGATGGCGGCATTCGCTTCATGCTCGTCCGCCAACTGCTCCGTCGCCTCTTTGATGTACGTCATGCTGTCGGCCAACCGCGGCACCAGCGCCACGTGCACAAACACGAGCGGTTCGTCGGGCACACTTTGTCATATCCGTTATGAGATAGAGATTACGGTAGTTTCCAATACCTAGGATGGAAGAACGCAAAGCAGCGGCGACCGCGGCCCAGGCGGCGCTTGAGCTCGATGATCGTGCCCACGGGGTGCACGGCTTCGTACCGGATGATCTTCTCAAGGAGGGCACCCGGGGACTGTTCGTACGTCACGCGCTCGAGGCGGAGGAACCCGACGCTGAACCACGATGCCAGAAACGACTAGACGTTTGTATGTGAGTATCGTGATACGGAAGGCGGTGTCCACAGTACTTGCAAATGCTGGTCCAACGCGCGCAGCACGACGACGTCCTTGGAGTTGCTTATCTTTCCCAACACTTGGCGGAGATCTGCACGCAATTGCACGAGAAAGAGCATCCCCCCGTCCAATTGCGACAACAGTTGGCGAAACAGGAGCTACCGGAATGGTTATGTCAATGGTGCCATAATGAAACCAAGATGAACTCAAGCACGCACTTCGTAGAGGGGCGTCAGGCTGTCCCTCAACGCTCGGATCGATCGCAGGTACTTGTCCACTTGGTCGTGATTCCAGTCGACCGTGTCAGATTGGGTGACTGTGGATATGCTAGCAGCACACGAAGACAACGTTTGCTGGACCTACGGCACATTTGAGGTTGGAAAGGAGAGGAATGGGACGTACCGTGGGGGCGTCGACGTGCAAGTCGCGCGCCAACGTCAACAGGAACACCTGCTTCGAATCAAAGTCGAGGGATTTGTACGAGGCAGCGATGCTCTTGATGATCACACGGGGAACAAAGTCTACCAGAAGTACATTAGATAAGACAGAGCAATGCTCATATCCACGAACCCCCATTGCGCTCTTTGGTCGTCGCCACGGTGCGCATGAGATGGGCCAACGACGCGCGGTCCCTTGGCAACTGAAATGTCTTGAGGAATTCGGATTCACCCGTGGACAGAATGGCTGCTCTCCAGGAATCCCATGGCACTGGAGACGTTTGGCTGCTGAATATGCGGGCTTGGTTCAACAGTGGTGGACGGACGCACACCGCCGCGCGGAAGGAGCATGCGTGTCGCCACATGCAAATACGATGCACAAATTGCAATGATACTTGTACTCATTCTGAAGAAGTACAGTATTCCTAGTACTACTATCAGGCCTACTATTCCACTCTCCTTAAGTACGGAATGGTTAAGTGCGTGTATCGTCCATGAGGACATTTCAAAGCAGTGAGTTCTATGGAATATATGTAAAGATTGACGCGTCATCATTACGAAGGTTTGGCGAGACGAGAGGACCGAGGAATCCAGATCTTGACGGAGAAGTCGGCCGAGGCGGACGCGAGGATGGGCTCGGACGGATGGAAGTCCACGCAGTAGATGCGGTCGGTGTGTGCATCGATCCGTTGCAGCAGACTCGCGTTCACGGAATTGGCCGACCGGCGACAACTCACGTCGTGCACATAGATGCGGTTGTCCGAGCTGCCCGTGGCGAGGAGCATCACTTCCTGCGACGCTACGTCCCTACGATATCCACGTTAACACGTCACCTTGAACCTGCTGAGTCGGTACCGATCGGCATAACTGCCTTCGTCGGCGTCGCCGTCTGTGAGTTTGCGATGCGGATACCGCGTCGACGGCAGCGACAGCTTGTAGTTGTACCCTTCGCCTCGAAAGAAAGAGCTCTTGATGGGCCAATTCTTGTTCTTGTGGCCTATACATTCATTCAAATCCATGAGCGACATACACATTTCCCACTTCAGCTACGTACGTACCCGTGACAAAGTACCCCAACTGCATCGGGTCTTGCGCATGACTGATGAGCTTGGACCCTCTAAGACTCCATTAACTTCACGGGAACATCCATACTCGTCGTACCGATCGTAGACGCGCAAGATGTTGTCGTAGCTGTTGACGGCCAAGTACCGCCCATCTTCGTCGCCCTGCCGCCCCGCGGGCGACGCGTGGACATGGCTGATGGCGTGGTGGCCTTCGTCATTCAAGTGGGACATGTCGTCCACACACCCGTTGCGTCGAATATCCCATGTCTTGACGTAGCCCTGTGGCATTGGTCGCCAAATGTTAGTCAATCGTCACCATTTGTGAATACATCGGACCTTGCTGTCGCCAGTGAGCAGCGTGTGGCCGTCCGAACACACGTGCAGCGAGTTGACCATGGCGTCGTTCGCCCACGTGCTAACAAAAGGAGTTGTGGAGTCGGTCGTCAAACGTTAAGACACCGTACTGGGTCACGCCTGCCCGCACGTCCAGCACATGCACGTTGCGCTGACTCGTGCCAATGAAGTACATGTCGTTGTCTACACTCCATATCGGTTACGATATATATATATAAGGAGGATGGATGGATATATCGAAGAGACCTGCGGGATTGAACGACACGGTTTGCACGAGCCCATTTACGCCCACACTGCCAGTTAAACTGGCCTTTTCGACGTCCCACAGCTTGACGGTGTGGTCGTACGAGGCCGAGAGCAGCGACCGACTGTCATTCGACCAGCTATAGCCAAACCTCAGAGGCATTTCTCCCTATGAACAACGAGATGTACCTGACATCGATGACCAGCTGGCTGTGCTGCCCCAGCGAAGCCAGCTGCTGCTGATTGAACTTGGTCGTGACGTCCCACAGCAGCACTTTGCAATCCAACGACCCCGACGCCAGCAGCCGACCGCATGGCGAGAACTTGGTCGTGTACACCGCCCCTGGACGAACATCAAGAGCGAAAAGAAGGACGCGACGTACCGCCGTGGCCACGCAGCTCGGACTTTTGGAAGAAGATGCGCGGGTTGCTGGCTTGTTGGTCGTCGTCGTCCATGTTGGGGGTCAACGATTCCAAGTAACTCGGGGTCGTCTCGGTCGCCGAGTTCTTCGCCAACAAGTCGTTAGCATTGAACACCGACGGGCCCGTTTCCGCAGACGATGACGATGATCCAATGTTGCTGGTTCCACTGCCGCCTGGATGGGACACTGGTTTTCCCGTGCTGTCCAATCTACGGCAAAATTGAGGCAAGGATTGGGGTAGACACGGCACCTACTTGAGACTCAATTCGTAGACCGAGCGCTTGAGGTCATGGTTCTCCTTCTCGAGCTTCTCCACGACGCCCTTGAGCTGCTTGTTCTCCTTGAGCAGAGCTTCATACTGGACCCGCAAGTGGTTGTTGTCCGACGACATCGAGCAAAGCAGCGGACGCCCAAAGCTTGGGCAAGCGCCGAGTGTCGTTGCTCATTGGTGCAATATCCACCAATCCATGGGCGAGATAGAATAATAATGAAATCGCATTTAAAACTCTATTTCAACTCTTGAATCCCATGGTATCGATGCGATATTTTGAAATGGGCGTGCCCAAGGTCGCAGCGATGGCGGACTTGGGCTCCTGACCATATAGATAGGTAGATGATACCTTGGCGTAGGTTGGAGAAGCACTGGCATGTCTAAAGTGAGGTGAATACTGCGGGTCAGGTCGCGCACTGATTCGTTCAATTGTATGCGGACGGACGACCACCCAAGTGGTGTCCCATGGGCACTTGACAAAGCGTAGCCAGAACTTGCGCAGTCATATTTTAGGCGACTCGTGGAAACGAATGTAAAATGATTGATGTGCTTACTATATATAATTTTGTTTCGGACTGTACTAGTACTGAATGAGGTTGAAAGTACACTGACACACTAACTGTACCGTATAGTGTATATGCATTGCGACGGATTAATCTATTGCGACTCCTGTAATAACGGATAATTTTCTTGAAATACTTCGAAGTAGCTGATATTTACTTGTGAACATGTTGAATATATGACGCAATGGATTAACAAAATTACGAGTGTCGACTGGTTGTGAAATATCACCTGTCGCAATTCATATACCGTATAGTGTAATACGAGTCGGACAGTGATATGCCGTATCCGAATACGGATACGATGTGAATTACAAGGTGATTTTGGCTTTCGTTCCGGACATACAAATACAAAGTAGTCCTACACCAAGCCTAAAATTGCAAAAAACATTATATTACCACGGAAATTCAGTTTCACAGGAAATAGACAAGAAGAGAGATCGACGTGAATAAAAATACCAAGTCGCCATACAAAACATTTGTTATTTATAAAATT